TTCCCAAAGCTGGATTTTGGGTCTGTTTTGGGAGGTGCTCCCTTTTCGGGGCAGGGAGGCTCAGCTAAGGGGCTTCCCTTGTGGTGTCCTTGCTGGGGCAGGGAGGCTCAGCTAAGGGGCTTCCCTTGTGGTGTCCTTGCTGAGGCAGGGAGGCTCAGCTAAGGGGCTTCCCTTGTGGTGTTCTTGCTGAGGCGGGAGGGTCAGCTAAGGGGCTTCCCTTCTGGTGTCCTTGCTGAGGCAGGGAGGGTCAGCTAAGGGGCTTCCCTTGTGGTGTCCATGCTGAGGCAGGGAGGCTCAGCTAAGGGGCTTCCCTTGTGGTGTCCTTGCTGAGGCGGGGAGGCTCAGCTAAGGGGCTTCCCTTCTGGTGTCCTTGCTGAGGCGGGGAGGCTCAGCTAAGGGGCTTCCCTTCTGGTGTCCTTGCTGAGGCGGGGAGGCTCAGCGGCTGGAGCCCTTCTCTTCTGCTCCGGCCACCTGGTTTGGGAGGGGGCGAATGCGCCCATCCGATCCCAGGACCCGTTTTTCTGGTCTGAGCCAAGAAGGTTGAGAAATGGAGCTGCCGGAGTGGGTGGGGGGTGGTGGGGGTGGAGGGCTGTGGGCAGTAGGGCTGGTTGGGGTGGATAAGGAGCCAGAAGTCATCCCAGGGGAGGACCAGACAAGGGGCAGGCTTCTCTGAGCCCCTCTGAGCTCCCTGACTTGGGCTGAATGTGCCCATTGTGCGGAGCTGGAGAGGGGCCTCCAGGCCAAGGGAGTGGCCAGACCAAGCCAGGATTAGAACCTGAAGCCTCAGCCTGGCCCACTGGGCAGGGGCAGGGGCAGAGCAAAGTGGCTTCCCCAGCTGGGAATGAAGACCCTTCTGTGCCCCTTATTCTCTGTCAGCCTTGATTTGTCCTTGCCCCCTCCTCCCAACAAATTCATTAACAGGTTCACCTCTGCTCTTACTGGCCTAGCTTTGGGCCCGGGTGACTTGGTGCCTTCCCATCTCCCTCCCCTGCTTGTTGCCCCCAAGTCCACAAGTTCCCCGATAGGCCAGGGGCAGGAAGAGGAAGAAATTGTCACCAGACTCCTCTTGGAGGTGAAGGGCAGACTTGGGTCTGGTTGCTGGGGAGACCATCTTTCCTTTCTGGGGACCAGGAGAAAGAGGCTTTGGGTTCAAGTCGTGGGTCCTTGGGAGAACGAGCTTCCTCTGGGGAGGGTGGTGGGGCGGGTCTCTGCCTCTCCGTCTGCTTCACGGGGCCCTTGCATAGGCGCGTCCGTCAGTGAGCCCACACGCGTACCCGCCATGTCTCTACTTCGCATCAAGGATGGGTCCCCCAGCTCCGCCCTCAGCTTTGGCTCAGTTACAAGTGACCGGTACAGGGTGGTCCCCAGAGAGGCCTCTCTCTATTTTGCTTAGTGGGTTTTGCTCTGTGAGCAGCTGGATGACTCAGCAGGCGGGTGGGATATGTTGGAGTCACAGTGTCCCCGCCCTGTGTTGGCTCCATATTCCAGTCAGGAGTCTGGTTGTCCTAGGAGCTGGGAACTGCTGGGAGGCTTCTGCCCTTCGTCCCATCTTACCTCTCCATTGCTTGGGACTTGCTGCCGCCTGAGGCTCCCTAAACTGGCCAGTGCCTGTGTCTGAGTGGGAGGGAGGCAGGTCAGCCCTGCTTGTTCCCAGCAGTGCCCTCCTTCAGGGCAGAGCCTGGGGAGTGCCTTCCATCATCTCCAACCCCTCTGTGCTGGTGACTGGCTAGTTGAGATCTGAGATTTCCCTTCCTGCTGGGCCTGCCTTTCACTTCCTTCCTGAGAGGAGCTGAGGGGCAGTGGTTGTGGGGTACCTGGGAGTCGGTCTGGCCAGCCCCCTTCTGATCAGCTTCTCTCCCCCCTGGAAGCAGGTAGAGCAGGTCCTTCTGCAGCCATGTCGGCCAAGGCGATTTCAGAGCAGACGGGCAAAGAACTCCTATACAAGTACATCTGCACCACCTCGGCCATCCAGAACCGCTTCAAGTATGCGCGGGTCACCCCGGACACAGACTGGGCCCGCCTGCTGCAGGATCACCCCTGGCTGCTCAGCCAGGTGAGGGCCCTCCCCACATCTCCCCAATAGGGCTGACAGTGGAGAGGTCAGAATGCATCGCATGATCCTGAACTGCCTGCTTGTCCTGGTGGGCAGCCTGCAGTAAACCGGGCAGGCCCTGCATCTTGAGAGAGTCAGGCCTAGCACGCAGAGCAGGGGCCTACGTTCACATTCCAGGTTTCTACTTATGAACCTTGTGTCCTGGGGCTCCCCATTTTACCTCGCTGACACTTGAGCCCCCTCTTTGAAAGGAGGGCAGCATGCATGCTGGGTACCTTGGCCCTAGAGGTCTAGAGCAGGGCTGCGGATAGGGCAGAGTTCGAGCACAGAGGGGTTACCCGGTGACCTCTTAGGGCCTCGTCCTCCCCAGCCTGGCTGTCACTCTACATTAACGGACCACGGGCTCAGGTCTGTATTCTGGGGCGTTTCGACTTAATAAAGACGCCAACTCACTCACCTGCATAGGGAGGGTTGGGCATTCATTCCCAGAGCACCTGTTCTGTCAGGCCTACCCACCCGCAGATGGCTCTAGACTGCTGGGAGTTGAGACAAAGACGGGCTGGGATGGACGAAGGACGTTCGGACGACCACCCTGGAGGGCGGTGGGCTCAGCAGGGTGGGTCGGAGACCACCAGGATGTCCAATACCTTCCACCTCTCGCCCGCTCGCCTTCCCGGTCCCTGCTGTGTCCATAAACCCTGCTCTCCCCCTTCCAGAGTTTGGTCGTCAAGCCAGACCAGCTGATCAAACGGCGTGGGAAGCTGGGGCTCGTGGGGGTCAACCTGACTCTGGACGGGGTCAAGTCCTGGCTGAAGTCAAGGCTGGGACTGGAGGCCATGGTGAGTCTCGGGAGAGGGTACATGGCATGGTAACAGAAGCAGATCCAGTCGCTTCCAGGTCAACAGGTGTCATCACGGTCACCCCCCAAAGCTAGTCAGCGTGCGGTCAGGGAAAGTAGACGTCCTGGGAGCCGAGCCACTCCGGTGGCCTCGGACAGCAGTCCCCACGGGACAAATGTTCTTTGTTCCCGGCCTGGGCAAGGTGTGTGACAGAAGTCACCCCATGAGGAGCCAGGTCCAAATGCTCTGCTTCAGTGATGACCGTGGAGAACGAAGCCCTTTCAGCACTTCTCTTGTTTGTTTGTTTTTTCCCCATAGTTTCATTCAGAACACTTTTTTAAAAAAGTTTTCTTTTTCTTTTCAGAACACTCTTATTTCCAATTTCCAACCAGGCTGGTGGTGGTTTGGGGCAATGTACCTACTGGAAGGGGTGGGCCAGACAGACACGAGAAAGAGAGCTATCCCATCTTTTTGTCTGAGAGACCTTATGAGCCAGGACTTAACTTGAGACAGTTCATAATGCCATCTGTAAATTCAGCCCCTCTCAGCTCAGTGATTAATTTACTATGTAAATGAGGGAACCATTGGGAATTAGGTGAGGGCACCTGTCTTCCCAGTCTGCCGCGTGCTCTGGGTCTCTGCTACTCCCTGAATAACCCAGAAGTGATGACATTTGGGAGCCTTTCACTTAGCTCTGCCCTCTGCTGATTATTGAATTAGATGATTATTGAATTAGATGGCTGGTGGAAGGCCACTGCAGGGTGTTATATGAGGCCGCACCCAGTGGCAGCCTGTTGGGGTGGCTGAGCCTGACCCCACCACATGTGCTTTGTAGAAATGCTCCCTAGGGTTTTCTCAGCTGGCATCTTGGGGAGCAAATCGCCAGGCCTGCCTTCCGCGGTGCTTCTTGAGGTGTGGGTTTGACCCACCACCCAAGGATGCCCACCCAAAGGCCTAGGGGTGAGGATTCCAGCACTTAAACTGGGATCACAGTGCAGCCCACCACAAGCCCCTCACTGCATGTCTTTGTGTCTGAGCCCCCCTGTAAAGAAGGATCTTGAAGCTTCGTGTGAGTCTGGACAGACAGAAGGGTCCTGACCTTGAAGCTCCCGGGCCTTTGGGGAGAGGCCAGCTGGACTGAGCAGTGTCTCCAGGGAGGCTTTGGGAGGAGCGTGGTGCTGGGGGTGTAGGGGGGTGCGTCTGAACCAGTAGCCGTGTCAGGTGGCCAGAGCAGCTCATTACCTCTGATGGATTGCTGTCTGGTCCTGACTCAGCAGTGACGCACAGCCAGGCGGGGGGCTCGGGGATGAGAGCTGTCTCGCCTTGGCTGCCGCCAGGGACCCACTCACACTGATTAGCTCTGCATGCTGGGTCCGCGGCCAGGAAAGCTCGAGTGGAAAAGCTTCCTTCATGCTCTGGGCACCACACTGGGTCACCATGCCCTCCCGCCCGCCTGCCACAAAGGCAGAGAAAGCACAAGGTCGCCTGCCCCTGTTCTAGGTCCTTTTGTCCTTGGGTTTTGTGTGCTGGCGGGAGGGTGATGACTCCTGACCCAGTGCTTTTGTATGGGGGCGGTGGACCCTTACGGAGGAGACAGATTGAGTGCGGCAGGCACAGGACAAAGGGTGGGGTGGGGGGCCCCGTGGCCTCCAGGAACTGGGGTTCTGTGGCCCCAAGACCCTGGTTTCTGGGGAAATCGCTTGCCGGGTGCAGTGGTGGTGGTGGTGTGGGGGCCCACCTCGGGTTGGGGCACGCAGAGCAGGAAGATGTGCTCACGTCTGGCCCTCACCTGGATCTCTGTAGGTTGGCAAGGCCAAAGGCTTCCTTAAGAACTTTCTGATCGAGCCCTTCGTCCCCCACACTCAGGTACGTGTGGGCTGCTCTGGGCCTGGGCTTCTCTGTGTGTCGGCATCTCTGTGTGTCTGATCCTCAAGGGGCGGAAGGGGAAACTCCAGTCTGAGGAGGCAGGGTCGTGAAGCCTCCCTGGGGGTCCAGAGAGGAAAGAAAGGGCCACCACGGCTTCTTTCTGGTCCCCAAGGGGTAGGTGTTGACCGGGTCTGCCGGTGACTGTTTTTTACTGGGTCTTAGACGGGACCAGAGGGGTGGGCTCCTCTCTGCCCGTCCAGTGCCCCTCACCCACCTAACTCTTTTCGCCCGCCAGGCGGAGGAGTTCTACGTCTGCATCTATGCCACCCGAGATGGGGACTATGTCCTGTTCCACCACGAAGGCGGGGTGGATGTGGGCGACGTGGATGCCAAAGCCCAGAAGCTGCTGGTCGGCGTGGACAAGAAGCTGCACCCCGAGGACGTCAAGAAGCACCTGCTGGTGCACGCCCCCGAGGACAAGAAAGAGTTGAGTGAGAGGGACAGCAGGGAGGTGGCCAGAGGACAGGAGAATGCAGAGTGGCCCTCCCTTTCTGGGTGTCTGTGGGGGTGGCAGCGAGCCGACTCTGGATCAGACTGAAGCATGTCCTCACCTCCTGCCCCTGTCTGGCTGGCTGGCGCTGCTTGACAGCTCCGTTCTGCCTCGGTGGCTGGCACACGTCTTGGGTTGGGGAGCAGAGTTTGCGGAGGGCGGCGGGGTTAGGATGGGGAGCTGTCACTGGGATGAGGCGGTGGGAGGGGCTGATGGAGCTGACGCTCTTCCCTCCCCCACCCCCCTTCTAGAATCCTGGCCAGTTTTATCTCGGGCCTCTTCAACTTCTATGAGGACCTGTACTTCACCTACCTGGAGATCAACCCCCTTGGTGAGGAAGCGGCTCTGTTGGACAGGTCCATTAGGATGATGGCCGGGGAGGGGTCTGAGAAGCTGCCCTCTGTCTCCCTGTGGTCCCTCTGTGAGGGACGCTCTGCTCTGACCGTGCATGCCCCACGCCTCGCCTGCCAGGAGTGAGGTGGTCCCACCAGCCTGGGCTCCAGTGTGCCTCTCAGACCTGTCCTCTTAGTGCCTATCCTGCCCACCCTGCCCCATTGAGCTGGCCGAGGAGCTGGTCCATTTGGGCTGTGCAGGAATCGGCTCTGGGGCGGGAGAGTGGGCAGGCCGCTGCTGGCCAGGGCTCCTCGGGCAAAGTCCAGGCTGTTTCCAGGATACAGCCCCCTAATGGACCAGATGGCTCTGTGCTAACTTAATTAGCTAAGTGGCCCCAGGGGAGAGGAAGATGGATGTCCAGTGAGGCGGCAGCAGATGAGTTCTGCTGGCCTGAGGCCTAGGGCACCCCAGGGTGTCTCCTCCACCAGGTGTAGCGGCTCCCCCAGCTGGGCCCCAGGAAACCCAGATGTACACCCCTGCGGGGGGCTTCTGATGGTGTGTGTGTGTGTGGGGGGGTGGCCCTAAATAAAGCCGGAGTGGTGCACTGTTAGATATCTGAAGTGAGGAGTGTAGTTTCCTCCACAGCCCGCCCTGCCGGCCCCTGTAGCTTGGGGACGGGGAGCCACTGGGCAGAATCTGCTTCTTCCTCTACTGGTGGGACAGCTGCCATCGGGTTGTGCGCAGCACTCGGCGTCACTAGGCCTGCACGGGAGGCACCCGGCCCACGGGTGAGGAGGGCTGACGGGTCCCTTTGCCCCTCCCAGTCGTCACCAGAGACGGAGTCTACATCCTTGACCTGGCTGCCAAGGTGGACGCCACGGCCGACTACATCTGCAAAGTGAAGTGGGGCGACATCGAGTTCCCGCCCCCCTTTGGGCGAGAGGCCTATCCGGAGGTAGGGCTGGTTTGGAGAGCTGGGGGAGGCCAAGGAGGCGACTAATCTCAGATGACCATTCTCCGCACCGTAAACCCCCC